TTTTTTTTTTTTTGTACTTTGAAGTTTGAACACACACGACTTTGTTTTGTTTTTGTAGGCCTTAAAGTTGTGTGCACACATTTAGCTCTGTAGCAAACACGTTCATTATATTGCATCCTCGTGGACGCCTAATTACTTAACAAAATAATAATTTCAAACCGTGTCTAGAAATGTCATTGGAGGACACACAAAGCTTTGGGGCTTAAGACTTCGAAATCACCGCCGCAGCAGTTCAGATTCCCAAACTTCGACAGACAGTATGTCTCACGGCCAGCGGCCACACAAAACCGCCCCGTGGTGAAACGTTTTTAGTGGGACTTAGCCCCTGAGCTGCCCTTTTTTTTTTCTTTTTTTTTTTTTTCTCTTTTCTTTTGAAGAACTCCCTTCAGACCCAATGGTTCCACCTTCTTCTTGGTTTCATGTTGCGAGCGTTATTTTCCTTCGTCTTCGAGGTGGACCCCACAGGACCATGGAAAGGAAAAACTTCCCCGCAAAACTGTTTCCAGGACCCCACAGCCTGCCGCAAAAGGTGAAATTTCTTCCGGGACCCCCGACCGAAGATTGTGGCTTGGAAAAACATAGTTTTCTGTTTTCATATAGTCGGCAGCCTGGAAAGGTCTCACCGGAGGATTCCGCAATTTTGTGCCAACTCTAGAGGGTAGGGGGGAGGGCGCCGCAATTTTGTGTCAACTCTAGAGGGTAGAGGGGAGGGCGCCGCAATTTTGTGCCAACTCTAGAGGGTAGGGGGGAGGGAGTGACTTTCCTGGAGAAGTCTCATGGGAGGCAGCAGCCAATAGCGACCAAGAGTGCCACAAAAAGAAGAAAGGGTTTCCACGGTGCATTTGGTCCTCCGCGGCGGGGTCCCCGCAAAACTGCTTTGCAGCTTTCCAAAATCCTTTACCCCTTTCTTTTGGCTGGAAGGTTTAAACCACCAGTACTTGGCCCAGCTATTGATGCCGAGCCGGGGTACCCCCTGCGCAGCAACTTTTGCCGAGCCACCGGGGCACCACTTCGTTTTCATTTTGGCTGGCGCTTCCAGCCATTGTGGTTCAGTGCCCCGAAGCCCGCAACTACCGGCGCGTTAACGGGAATCGCCCGCGGCCAATAGCTGGGCCAAGTACTGGTGAGGCTTCCAGCCATTGTGGTTCGGTGCCCCGAACAGGAATCGCCCGCGGCCAATAGCTGGGCTACTGGTGGTTTAACCATCCTTTTTCCTGTGGGGTCCACCCCTTATATTGGCCTGATCCGACGCTTTGGCCTCGAGTGCTGACCAGGCTTCGAATCCGGCGACCCGTATGCAGGTGCCATTTGGTCCCATCCTCAGTATCTGGCCATTGATCTGCACAATAGACCGTTGCGAAATAGAGAATTCGGGTAATTTGGATATGGGGCCCAGAAGGGTTTCCGTTTGAAAATACACTTGAGGCAAAAGGGCCCATAATGGTGAATGTATATAACCTAGGTTTCAGGACAGGTGGGGTCACCTGGGGGTGTGTTGTGTTCGCGGGATAGTCAGATTAGCATTCACGAATCGAATAGTCGAACAGACCACATCCAAATATCAGCAATCAACCATCGCACGACGGAAGAGAAGGGGAAGGAGAAGAGAGAGGCACACAGGATAAGCAGTCGTAGAAGAAAACCCGAACACGACTTGATTGAAAGTAATATGTGAAGAACACAGCGACAGAAGTCACCTGGCGTAGGACCCAACCGGTTTCGCGTGGCTGCCCACCACGACTCATCAGGGGTCTTAAAAAGTCGGTGATATGCCAGAGGTTTTCACATCCCTCCCTTCACAACAGAGCCTCCCAATTCAAGTAACAAGGCGGGATATGCCAAAAATGGTAAATTTATTTACCATAAGTAGAGTGGGATGAGGCCCTACGTAGTTTGGGGAAATGAGGTCCTGGTGTGACTATATCCCTCGACACTATTTTTTTTGGGATTCTG